CCCCTGGCCTTGGTAGTCTGAGACCCGAGCTGGTGAAACTGCCCAGGGCCGGCCTGGAACATGTGACCCTTCTCTGCCAGCTCCCGAGTGCTGGGATTACAGTGTGTGCCACCACGCCCGGCTGAAACACTAAATTTGAGACATTAAAACACTAAATTTCCCAGAGCAGGCTCATGCAAATTTTAAGTCCTGGCTAAGGATACAGCTCAGTGGCACAGTGCCTGCCTGGAAAGTGACGTTGTGATTTGATTCCCGGTATCAAAAAAAGAAAAAAAAAAAAAATGGTGAAAAAAACCCTAACTTTCAAGCCTCCTGCCTCAGCCTCCAGAGTGTGGGTTACAGGGTGCACCACACCTGGGTTTGGTTTTGTTGTGTTGTGTTGAGATAGCATCCAGCTATGTATTCCAGATAGTTTTGAACACACTACATAGTCCACATCAGCCTTGACCTCTCAACCCTCCCGCCTCAGCCTCCCAGAGTGGTGGAATTAGACGCATGTACCACCACACCCCGCTACTCCCTCTTTTTTTTTTTTTTTTTTGAGATAAGGTCTCACTATATAGTTCAGGCTGGCTTCAAACTCAGTGACCCTCCTGCTTCAACCTCTCAAGTGCTGGGATTATAGATGTGTACCACCACACCCATAGACTACTACTCCCATAGAAAAATGACTCAGATCCAATTATAGATATGACATCCTAGTGACTTTATCTAGTTGTAACCCTTCTCAAAGGCTCCACCTCTAAACATCATTATCAATATCAATTAAATTTCCACCTTTTTTTTTTCCACCTTTTTTTTGAGACAGGGTCTCACTATGTAGCCCAGGTTGGCCTCGACCTCAGGTTGATCCTCCTGCCTCAGCCTCCCAAGTGCTGAGATTACAGGTATGTGCACCAAGCCTGGCTTGTCCACCCTCTTAATACCTGTCAGTGGAGAATTAAATTTAGCACATGAGCAAGACATGGTAGCCCACACCTATAACCCCAGCCCTGTGGAGGCTGACATAGGAAAATCACTGTGGGTTTGAGGCCAGCCTGGGCTACACAGTGGACTCTGCCTCCAAAAATTAAGAAAAAACATTTTTAAACACATGACATGCTCTGGTTTCTCCTCAAATTGTGTCACTCTTTCACATATGGACCCTTGGCCCTTGGGGATGTTCAACCCACATCCAAACCTTAGCACTTTGTCCCCAGTGAGCAAGTTTGAGTTAAATTCCCCTCATGTGGCCACTGTAACTGGAGTTGTTGGGGAGTGCCACCCAGGACCTGGGCGCTCGTCCCCATCCCTGTCACTGCCGACACTAGCTGCAGCCCTGGGCGCCTCCACACGAAGCTCCCATCCAAACCAACTGGAGCCTTTCAGCAGAGGGCAGCCCCGGGCCTCCGAGCCACGTCCCCAGCCCTTTTATTTACAGACAGGTTCTCGCTGAGTTGCTAAGTTGCCCAGGGTGGCTTTGAACTTTCAATCCTCCTGCCTCAGCCTCCCAAAGTGCTTAAATTACAGGCCTGCACCAGCACCCCAGGCTGCCTTTCGTAGATCTGTGCCCCTACACAGGGCTATCGTCCACCTTCTCTGGGACGAGGTATGTGGCACTGGCTTCAGCAGGCTGTGCTGCTCCAAACATGTGACCGTTCTTTTTTTTTTTTGTCTTTTTGAGACAGGGTCTCGTTATGCACTTCAGACTGCCTTGAGCTCACTTGGTAGCCCAGGGTGGTCTCGAACTCCCAATGATCCTCCTGCCTCAGCCTCCCCAGTGCTGGGATTACAGGCGTGTGGCCGTTCTCATCACCCTATCTGCAGGGATTGTGAGCAGCGACTTTCGAAGCTGCTGCTATTGTGAATGCCTGGCAGGGGGAGGGGTGGGGCGTAAGCCGCACCCGCAGAAGGCGGTGCGCTGCAAGCTTGCGCACGTGTGTGTATGTGTGCGCGTGCGTTTGTGTGCTCTGAGCTCCCTATGGCTGGTGTTCCCAGGCTCCATAGAATGTGGAAAATTAGGCCGATGTGGAAATTAGGCCGATTGACAGCTCTGCAATGGCTCTGAGTGTTCAAGTGTAGTGAGGGTCCTGCCTCTCTCAGTTTAAATCAAAAACACCAGACGTGATGGTGCACGCCTGTAATCCCAGCACTCAGGAGGCTGAGGCAGGAGGAGCACCATGACTTTGGGCCCAGCCTGGGCTACACAGTGAGACCCCGTCTTAAAAAAAAAATGAAAAGCTACAGATGATTGTGCTGGCTGGGAGGCATCCAGATGTCACCGAGATCGTGGAGAAGGGTCTGGCCGCACAGCTTCTGGCTCCCTGACAGAGCAAAAGCGGAAGCCAGCAGACGTCTGCACCCCAAACTTGCAGAACTCCTGAGAATGTTCGAAGACCGCTCTGCCTGTGTGGGAGCCGGGGCCACAGCACATCTGCTTACAACATGGCTTCCTGAATACCCGCGCCCCCTGCTGGGACTCCTGGGCAGGAAAGATAGACGCCTTTCAAGACGTGCTCCCTGTGACCACATACCAGGTCACCTGGAGTTGTGACGGGATGTGCAGGGAGAGGAGTTGTCCTCATGCCCGATGACAAAGTCCATTCTGCACTGGAGCAAGGGCCCACTCGGACTTTGAGATCTTACTTCTCTCCTCCCTCTGGGCAGGCTGGGCGGGGCTCTGCCGCTGAGCTACATGCCAACCCTTAGGACAGAAAAACAGACGACTTCTTCCTACCGATTGGCAAGTCAATGATTTCTTTTGAAAAAGTTATTTCAAAATTATTTCAAAACCTAGTGTTATGTTTTCCCAAAAGTAAGCCCTAACCAGGGCCATGGTCACTATGTATGAATTTATGGCCAGTCTGAATTACAGAGCTGACCCCATCTCAAAAAAACAAAGACCTAACCAGAAAATAATCAGCCTTGAAAACTAGAGTTCAAAACGCCAGCCCCAATCCGCTTGTCCCCACTTACCCTGCCCTCACTTAAGTCTCTTGTTCTGTGGCTACTCTGTAAGGTAGTTTGCTTGGCTTTTTTGAGTCTGTTTGAATTTTTTTTTTTTTTTGAGATAGGATCTCACTATGTAACCCAAATTAGCCTAGAACTCCTGGCTATCCTCCTGCCTCAGCCTCCTGAGTGCTAGGATTATGGGCATGTGCCATCACACCCACAAGGCAAGTATTTTTGATCTCTAGTTTTCTTCCCTTTTTTTTTTTCTTTCTTGTCTTTTTGAGACAGGGTCTCACTCACTATGCAGTGCAGGCTGGCCTTGAATTCACTTTGTAGTCCAGGCTGGCCTTGAATTTGAAACGATCCTCCTGCCTCAGCCTCCCAAGTGTTGGAGTTACAGGAGTGTGTCCTGTGATCATTCATGCCTGTAATGATCTCTGGTTTTCAATGCTGATTATTTTCTGATTAGGTTTTATTTTTGGAGAAAGCGTGAATTTATTACTGGTAGGGAATTGGAACATGCACATAACACAGCTAAATTCTTTTTGTCCCCCTGACCTCTTCTCCCTTCCCTCTCCCTCCTTCTCTTGGAATAAAGTGGCTTCATCCTGGTCAAGGTGCTGTGGACAATGTTACCACAGAGGATTTGGAACTTTCTGGAAACTCAGGTGATAAAGCAGGGTCGGGACCTGAGGGGATTAATTCTTGTTTGAAAGTGGTTTTGTGCATAAAATGTCACCCAACAACACACTCTGACACCGAGAAAGCTTTTGTGAGAAGATGAACTCACATAGCAAACTTCATTGTCTGGACCCAACCTGCAGCGTCTCCAACTGTGTCTGTAATTCATTGTGTTTAACAAAAACTGTCTCTGCCATGTAGTTTTCCATTTATGAAAATACCACAGCTGGGCATGGTGGCACACACCTGTGATCTCTGGAGGCTGAGGCAGGAAGATTGCCACGAGTTTGAGGCCAACCTGGGCTCCATAGTGAGACCCTGTCTCAAAAAACACAAAAGCACTACAATTTTTATTGCCCCCTGTTGATGAACATTAGGGCACTCCTGATGTCAGGCTGTTTAAATGATGCCACGTCGGCCGGGTGGGGACACACAGCCTGGGCAAGGTGCCGCACACCTCTGGTTGGTTTTTGTTGTTGTTGTTTGGGGGATTTTTTTGAACATTTCTGTTACACATCTGTTGGGTTTTTTTTCTGACATTTTTGTAATACACCTGGTATTTGTTTTGTTTGGTTGGACATATTTGTAACAGCTGTTTTTGTTTTTGTTTGCATTTTTGTAGTCTCTAGGATTCTGACGCAGCCACTGCATCCGGGGATGTGCCATCCTGCTCACAGGTGCAGCTCACGTGTGCGGGGGGGCTGCTGCTCCTCACTGCTGCTGGGCCTCTTGGGGGGCCCACGCCGCGGTGCGGGTGCCAGGCATAGGCTGTTCTGCATGGCCCGGCACCTTTCCTCGGGTCCCGGGGCTTTTCTGATTATGAGCCATGGCAGACATGCACGGGCGCAAGTGTTGTTCAGGCTGGACTTCCTCTTGGCCTGTGGCTGCTGCTGCTGCAGCCCTCGGAGGCTCAGGCAGATATGAAAGAGATCACAAGATCCCACAGCTCCGCCTCAGCCCAGGCCCACAGTCACCTCTGTACAGGGCTGGGACAAGGGAGGAGGCCCAGGGAGGGCCCAGGCAGAGCCCCGTGGTGGCCAAGCAGGTGAAGGGGCACCATCCTTGTCCGTCGTGGGGCTGAGGGTGGGGTTCAGAGAGCCTCCACTCCAGCCCTGAGTCAGCTGGGAGGCTGCAGGAAGGGACCCAGCGCTGGGGCGGCAGGCATCCCCAGGCCCCAAGGCCCAAAGTGAGGACAGATGGGGAAGGCGTGGGCGGCTCCCCAGCTGTCCCCAGGCTGCCAGGCAGCTCTGGGTGGGGAGGCGCTGGTGTCCCTGTGCTCCTGGGCGGTGGCAGCACATGTGTGGCAGGTGCTGTCTGGGCACTTGGGGGACTCAGTCTGGGAAGCAGGCACATCGAGCTCCCCCCTCCAGCACCGTCACTCTCCCCAGATTGACCAGGATGGGCTCACCTTGCCGGAGAGGACCCTGTACCTGGCTCAGGATGAGGAGAGTGAGAAGGTGCCTGGCCGGCGGGGGCTGGGGAGGCCCGGGTCCCCGGGGGCGGGGGGACGTCCCCAGGCGGCTGCGTGCCCCCCTTGAGGAGCCCTGTCCTGCACAGGTCCTGGCGGCCTACAGGGTGTTCATGGAACGCCTGCTCAGCCTGCTGGGCGCCGACTCCGTGCACCAGAAGGCTCAGGAGATCCTGCAGCTGGAGCGGCGGCTGGCCAACGTGAGCACCAGGGGGCTTCGGGCTGGGGCGGGGCCGGGCAGCGGGCTCAGCAGAGTCTCCTCCCAGATCACGGTGTCGGAGTATGATGACCTGCGGCGGGACGTGAGCGCCATGTACAACAAGGTCACGCTGGGCCAGCTGCAGAAGATCACCCCGCATGTGAGTGTGGCTGCAGCGCTGCGCAGGTGGGGTGGGGGCCGAGCCCGGGCCCACGCTCCCCTCCCTGGACGGTGCTGCGCTTCTGTGCACCTGGCTCCTCCCTGGTGCACCTGGCTCCTCGCCTGTCCTGACCACTCCCCGCGCCCCGCGGTCCCCGCCCTCGGCCCCACAGCTGCGGTGGAAGTGGCTGCTGGACCAGATCTTCCAGGAAGACTTCTCGGAGGACGAGGAGGTGGTGCTGCTAGCCACCGACTACATGCGGCAGGTGTCCCAGCTCATCCGCTCCACGCCCCACAGGTGGGCTGCAGCCCCAGCCGCCCTCCCCCCACTGTCCGCAGGGCCCTGCTCTGCACCTGCACCTGTGCTCCTGGCGGCCTTTGAGTGTCCGCCTCCCCCACAGCCACCCGGGCAGGCAGGAGGGGGCACTGAACAGGAGCCCAGATCCCTAGGGTCAGAGGCTGGCGCTGCCCCCTGTGCTGTGGGAGCCGGGCAGGCTGGGAGCATCTTGAGCTGCTCGCCGGGCTGTGGGCTATGTGAGAACTGTGTGTCCGTGGGAAGGGGTGGCCACGACTGCTGCCCAGGGTCACCTTGAGGACAGCCTCCTGGCTCTTCCCCTCCTGGGGGAGGAGCAGGGCAGCCCAAGGCCAGCCCTGAGACACAGTCAGCCCCGAGTGCCCAGGGTCTACCCAAGGAAGTCGGAAAGTGGGGTTAGTGGCGGCCCTTCAGGGCAGGGCTCTGGTTTGTGGCAGTCCTGAGTGACTGGGTTTCAGAAAAGTTGGTCTGAGCCAAGCATGGCAACATACATCACAATCCCTGAATTTGGGAGGCTGAGGCAGGAGTATTGACTCGAGTTTGAGGCCACCGTAGGCTACATAGTGAGTTCAAGTCCAGCCTGGACCACACAGGGAGACCCTCCCTCAAAAAAACAAGAAAGAAGTAAGGTCAGGCTGCGCCTCTGCACACCTGCGCTGCCCTCCTGCCCCTCTCTGTGAGCAGCATAGGTGCTGACGGGGTGGCCAGTCCCCTGGGCAGCCACCACACCTCTGCCTGGGCTTCCCCTGCTCCCTGGCCAGGATTCCACAGAGTTTCAGGTGTGGCATGTGGTGGCTCTGCCTGACTCCATCCCCTGCTGTCCCATGAGGTTCTGGGTGAGCTGACCCAAGGCCCAGGGCAGCCACAGCCCAGGAGCAGTTGCATCTGCCCGGGCCAGGCCAACTGACCCTGTGTGCCTGGCCATGACCCCAGCCCTGGGACTGCGCCTTCTCAGCTGACACAGCCGAGGCCAGGCTGCCCTGGTGTGAGCATGGGTGCAGGCGCCCAGCCTGCTGGCCTGTGACCTCCTGACCTGGAGCCAGGGAATAGGCCCCACCTGTGCTGTCAGGCCCCTGCCTGGCTCCGGTTGGGGATACACGCTAGGGGGCTGCTAAGGGGCTGCGGCTGCTCCTCTCCAGCGCCCTCCCCAGGCGCCCGGGGCTGTCGAGCGCCCCTACCCACGGCAGCCCGGCCCAGGACGCAGGGTCTCGCAGATGGACCTCGAGACTCCGGCCCTTGTGCAGGGCTGTGTCACCGTGTGTCCCCGACCCCCCATCCCCACACACGCGCCCCGCCCCCACCGGCTCGGGGTCCTCTAGCAAGAGCCAGCGCTGTCACGGCGTCACTGTCCCAGTTCTCTTTATTGTTGCTCTGTGTCCCCAGGGTGGGGAGCAGGCAGGGAGGGGGATCTTTGACCCTACATCAGGGCCCAGTCCCAGCACGGGGAGGTGAGCCAGAGCCAAGGCCAGCCTGGCGGGGCCCTGGGGCTGCAGGTGGGGTGCAGAGCGCCCGGTCAGAGCCTCTCCTGGGC